ATTATTATACTTAAATAAAAGATGTAATAAACAAAAAAATAAAGCTAATTTAAGAAACTTTTACGTTAAAAAAAGTTAGACTTTTTGTTTATTTATTTATTTGATTAATTGCAATTGCTTTACATATTTTCAAATTTTACTATATAAATTCAACAAATAATCATTATGCATGATTATCGTAAGCGATCATTTGCATAATCATTATAAGCAATTATTTGTGTGATTATCATGAGTGATCGTTATGCGCGTAAATATCATGAGCGATCGTTATGCGCGTAAATATTATAAGCGATCGTTATGCGCAAAACGTTATACATGGTTATTTCGAACATTTGTATTCACAATTGTCATGCGTGAACGTTATGTGTGATCATCGTGAGCGATCGTTATGTGCAAACGGTTATTGCGAGCAGTCGTTATAATGTATAATTGTAATGCACAATTTTGTTAGACATATTTAAATAGAGAAAAAAAAGTTAAAAGACTCGATTTTTGTAATTTGGTTATTAACAAATAAAATTGTATAACTTAAATATTAAAACTAAATTCAAATAAATTTATCATATACTTGTTATCCTATTTCGAACAATGGCTTCTTCTTATTCTGCTAATATACTTTCTTCTGCTAATTCACCTTCTGCTAATATACCTTCTTCGGCTAATTCACCTTCTTCGGCTAATTTACCTTCTTCTGCTAATTCACCTTCTTCGGCTAATTTACCTTTTTCTGCTAATTCACCTTCTAATACACCTTCCACTAATACATCTTCCACTAATACACCTGTCCCAATCGTACCAAATGCTCCACATGTTCCAAACAAAAGTCTAGTGTGGCTTTTCTTTGCTTTATTCGTTTTAAAAGATGGTAAATTGAAAGCAAAATGCAAGTTGTGCATTAATAAAGAAATGTACCTCATCGTAAGCAGAGGTTCTACTTCTAGCCTACGCAGTCATATTACTAATGTTCATAAAGTTAATATTGTAAAGGCAGTTAGTACTAGAAATTTTCCGGTTGTGTCTAAGCCTGGTAAGCATATTCTTAGAGAAGCGTTAGTTAAGTGGATTACAGCCAATGGTTATTCTTTTACCACTGTTGAATCGGAAAGCTTTAAAGAGTTGGTTGAGGTGATTAAAAAATTAGATAATGATGTTACACTTCCCTCTGCCAGAACAGTTAAGCGGGATTTGTTAAACCAATACTCAGAACTGAAAGAATCTGTAAGAGATGCTCTAATAAATAACTCGAGTAAGATATCTCTTATAACCGACATGTGGACAAGTAGTTTGTGTAAAGCTTTTATGAGTGTCATGGCATACTAGATCAACAAAAACTGGGAGGTCAAGTCGCAAGTTCTTAACCTTGTGCCTTTTGATGGAGCGCACACTGGAGTAAACATAGCAAATACTTTATTTAGTATTTGTAATGATTTTGGTATTGTTAATAAAATCTTGGGAATAACTGTTGATAATGCTGCAAGTAATAATACCTTACTTGAAGCATTTGAAGTCCAGTGTAGAGATAATAGTGGCTCCTTTATCAAACAACAAGATCATGTCTGTTGCATGGCTCATATTATTAATCTTGCTTTGCAAGATTTTTTAAGCCACCTAAATTCAGAAGCACCAGATCAAGATGAAGATGAACTTCATATCTTAAACCAATCCACCTCCCAAACTTCAACCATCAAAAAGCTTCGAAAGCTTATTGCCAAACTTCGAAGTTCGCCTCAGCGTTGCAAAAGATTAAGTGACCTATGCCAATCTTATCAAATACAATTTAGTACTCCAATTCTTGACTCCAAGACCCGTTGGAATTCAACACTTAACATGATTGAACACGCTATTACCATGGCGCCAGCAATCAATGAGATAATTGATGAAATTCAAGAGTTAAATGAATTCAGTTAGTATTTTAAATAATCAATTTAATAATTTTGGCCCAACTATTAATCGATTAGCCAACTAATCGATTCATACCACTAAACTAGGTCTTTTATCAAGAGAATGGAGTATGCTTGAAGAAATAACTTTACTTTTAAAAACTTTTCGTGACATTTTTGAAGATTTGTGCAGTGAATTCTACGTAACGATGCCTTTTGCCATACTAGCCTTTAATTTAATTATGAATGATCTTGAAGATTTGGAAATGAAATGTTCATCCAGAAATATTAGAGAAGCCATCAAAGCAGCCCTTGATAAATTAAAGCTCTATTATATAAAGTGCAATAATCCAATATATGCAATATCAACTTTATTGGATCCAAGGTTGAAGACAAGATACTATGAAGTAGAAAGGTGGGATAAGAGGTGGATTGAATGGGCAACTGGGTATTTAAATAATGAATATAAAAAATATGAGAACATTGTAGTTAGTAATGTTAACATTAATGTAGTTAGTAGTAGTAGTAGTGGCCGTGTTAAACGAGTTTTTGATAAAATTCATGAGCCTACAAATGAGGTAAATAAGGTTGAACTATATTTAAATAGTCCTGTGGCATATCGTAATATGAATGTATATCAGTGGTGGAAAATGTATTCAGATCCAGAAGTATTTCCAAAGTTGGCAGCTATGGCGCGGGATTACCTTGCTACACCAGCAACAAGTGTATCATCTGAAAGACTTTTCTCAAAAGGCTCAGGCATAGATACTGTAAAATGTGGATCTCTAAATCCAGAAACAATACAAAAATCAATTGCACTTAGTAATTGGATAGATTAAAAAGCTTAATTATTTTCTAAAATATACAGTAATAAAAAAAAAAAAAAATCTTATTGTTATATATATGCTCAACATGTAATCACGTAAAACATATTAATTAATGTATATGTATATATGTAATACAAAAGTTATTCTATTTAATGAAAAAAAGTTGCTTTTGTTAGTTATTAATCTGTTTTCTGAATATTTTTATTATGAATAAATTTAGTAAAAATGTTAACCTATATTACCTTAATATATCGTCAAATATCTTGAGAATCACGATTTTTATGATTTTAATAATTAATTCAGGCAATCTCCTTTAATTATATCTAATATAATCTAAATAACAATAGTTCAATTCATATATTAATCTATATTATTTGCAGAATTTCTTTTAGCAAATAGTTGTTTTGCTAAATAGCAAACTAATCAAGCTAGTAAACTTTAATATACTATTAAGCACATTACTTAATTCATTGTATACTTTTAACATACTACTAAACCATTATTGATTTAGAACACAAAAGAGTAAGATTCGAAATCTGGACAATAATTAAGAAGGAATAGCATAAAAGTATAAATAAGAACCGGAGAATAAAGTTAGGTATATCCAGAGTATATGTTGTAGTGGCTATGAAGAATAGAAATAATTATTTTGGCAATTCTTCATGTTAGAAAAAAGTACATTGTAGAATATGTGCTTATGAAGTGATTTAGTCTCAACTACATATAAGTTACAATAGACCTCCAAATGATGTGATTTATAGAGAGAAAGTTGTGTGAAATGCACTTATGAAGGTTGACTATAGAAAGAGGGAGTGGCTATATAAATAATAACTGGATTTTGCATAAGTTAGCCGTACAAATTTAATTTTTTGGTTTTTATGCAAAGAATAGAGATGCACTCATATATTATTAGCATAGTGTGTTTTCCCACATATTTTTTTTTAAAGGTTCCGATGATAGTTAACACTATAGCATAAAGTGAAGTTAAAGTGAAAGATATTGTAGTCCGAAAATAAAGCATGATCTGATGATAAATCACATGGAGATTTGAAAGTTTTGTGAAAAGTTTATTCTTTACCAAGATACAATTTTAACTGCGCAACTATTTTAATTGTCTTTTTAGGCTAGTACTGAACACGCTATCAAGAGAAAAACATATCAAAGACACAATGCTGCAATTTATCCTGTTTTTATATCATTTTAGCTTACCAAAGCAAATCCTTATTCTCTTGGTTGCCGTTCAAACTATTTGGAACAGCCCAAACAATATGATAAGTAATTAAAACCAATGTGATGCTAATTATCACATAGTTTGGGTGTCTCAAATGGTTTGTGCGGCATAATATCTGTGCTAAAAGCTTTTAACATTTTTACCAATGCTATTACAATAATCTACTATTTTGGTTAAATATGATTCTTTGATTCCAGGTAAAGATCTACCTTTTTTTTTTTAATGTTCTAAATCTTATAAATGCGCATAAACATATTCAATTAGTAACAGTAATGTTCATAACCACAATGTTGGCTGTTTTCCTAATAAGTTTAATCGTTAGAATTTTGAACTCCTTTCCTGTTAATAATTGACTTACAAACCTTTTTACGTAGGGCTCAGTAGCCCTAGGTGGTACACTTATAAAAATCAAAGTATTTTGTCGGTGTCATAACAGATCAATCAGACTAGAAGTCAAAATATTGAGAATTTTTCGTCTTGTCTTGCTTTGGCGTTTATAGTGAAGTGTAAGTATATATTTATTATCTATTTAAATAGAATTTTATGGGTTCCAATCATGATGGAATTCTAAATGAACTCGCTTAATTTTCACTTAGGTTTTCTCAAGTGTCTTAGTTAATCTGTGAAAAAAATATTTAATGTATTTAATTATTCTAATAAATAAAACACATAATATATCAAAGAGAAAAATTTAATTAGTGGAAGATTTTTAACTAATCAAGAGTATTATTCTAGTTAACAAAAAGTGTAAGATCAGATATTCTTTTTTTTTTGTGCTTATTGATAAAATTTTAATTGATTGATTATAAAAAATATTGTTCAAGCGCTTCTCTTTATATTACTATTATAAATCTTAAAATCGTTACCGGAGTCAACAAATTATTACCTAATTGCTTATGTTAAATAGAGATTGTACACGTAGGGAAAATTTCTACCTGGAATTATTAAATTACCCATGTTATCCAGGTTACTATAGCTATATAATAGCAAATTCTTCCTGAGTACAATCTTTATATTAAAAACTTTGACCGTTCATTCGCATAACGTTTTGCGCATAACGATTGCTCATAATATTTATATGCATAACGATCGCTTATGATATTTACGCGCATAACGATCGCTCATAATAATCACACAAATAATCGCTTATGATGATCACGCAAATAATCGCTTACGATAATCACGCATAATGATTATTTGTTGAATTTGTATAGTAAAATTTGAAAATATGTAAAGCAATTGCGATTAATCAAATAAATAAATAAACAAGAAGTCCAACTTTTTTTAACGTAAAAGTTTCTTAAATTAGCTTTATTTTTT